CTGTACTGGCCATGACATCAGGCTGTCACTGCCTCAGCACTGTGTGGAGAAAAGAGGTCAGCACTGAACAGCCCCTTTGCCATGACAAATAAGAGCAGCTGCAGGGTCAGTTAGTGAACAGCAGTCCAGAAAACCCCAAGCAGTTAGATAGGCCAACACCAGAACAAAGCCCAGCTGTAGTTGCAAATACTGGGGAAAACCAGTAGCTGGAACTAGGGATATGTCTCCAAATGGGTTTGTCTCAGATCTCTCGTGGCCCATTCTTGCACTTCCAACTGTTATGGTGTCAGGAAGGTGTTACCCTCCTGTCATTTCTCTGAGAGCTGGCTCTTCTGCACGGGAAGCTGGACTGAGGAGTCCTTTTGATTGTTCTGTGTCTTCAAGAGATTTGCAATATAAGTATTACATAGCTCCTCTTTGTTTTTTCAGAGTGAAAGAATTGAAAAAGGCCAAGGAACTTGAAGATACGCAGCAGCATCCCGTAGCAATGTGACATTGCTTTTCAGACTGTTTTCATTTTCTGTTTTTAGCAGAGACATGCAACAACAACAAAAATACCCACTGCAGTTCTGGAAATACCAGCTGCAGGATTTTAACAGTAATGTTTTGGTCATTGCATTTGCACTTTCATGGACAACTTTTAATTTGTTCAGCAAGACATCTTGGAACTCAATCTTCTGTTGGATCGTTGGGAAAACAAAAGACACCAGGAAGAAATTGTGAGTTGCTTCATTCTCCGAGAAGGAAGGAAGAAGCGATTAATTATCCTTTTCATATAGGGCTGTATTAAACAACATGTGGAACTGTACAAATATTATACCAAAAATATTGTTCAGAAAAGGTGGGAATGCACAAGCAACACAAGAATGCTGTTCCTGCACCTGTCAGTCATCTCCAAGAAACTGAAGCTTTGAGAGTCTCAGTGGAGGGGCTTAGATCAGTACATCTTTATTGGGTCCATGCATCCTCATTTCCTTCGCACTCCTGTCTTTTGTGTTTTATTTAAACCTCTACAGCACACTTAATGCAACTTTTTAAATCTGCAGGTTTTTAATACATCCTGTGGGAACTTACAGAAGGGGTTGGTGTGTGAGAGACACGGGTAATGCATGAGAATGGAGAGAGCAGCTTCAGCAAGTTTTAAACACTTTTTTTGGTATTTTTACTAGAACCTGCAAACATATCAACTGTCATGTACTTTCTCTCATATTCAGCACTTTATTTTCTAGCCTTACCTTCATGTACTATTGTTTTAATTAAGTTCTTAAATAATTTGTAAAACATGTAGCTTTTTCTCTTATGTCAAACCTCTTGTCATTTTGCAGAGTCACGTACATATGTTGCCTGGACATTTTATGCCACCTAAAGATCAGTGGTGCTGCATTCTGGCCAGTAAATTTCTTATTTTGGCTACTTCATCGAAATCTGGGCAGTTTTCTGTATATATAGAAGGTAGAAATGGAAAATGAGAAAAAAATATTTGAAAGGGAATATATTGATTAATTACTAAATATTTTATTCACAAAGGGTCAATAACTTGGCAAGATAAAATTATTATTTGTATAGTTTTGTCTGAATGAACCAGAAGAGTGTGGATGTATTGTTTGTACATATTGTATATATTAAAACAAAGAGATATGTGCATGAACTCAAGAAAAAGAAATGAACAAAGCAAAGCATTAGTGGCTATGGTCTGTAAAATGAAACAAAAACTTTATTTCACTATAAGAAACTTTATTTTAAATGTTCTTTAGAAGAACATTTTTGCTAAAGCATGACTAAATGGCAAAAAAGAGCTACTGTATTTAGACTTAGGAAAAAAAGGCAGAGCAACATTACTTTAAAAAAAAAAAAAGAAAAAAAGGATATGTTTACATTTGATTTTGGCTACCAGGAGTTTGGTTCAGTTGGGTTTAATTTATATATTCCTTGCTTTTTTTTTCCCCCCCATCTTTTTTTTCCTTTCTTTCTTTTTTTTTTTTTTTGCCAATGGTGCCAAGTAATGTGAATGCTAATATTGCTTAAGAAAATTAAGTTACTTTTGCAAAGCAGATAATCATAAGAGTACAAAAACCGTATCTAGCTTAACACCATACACTCACTCCAATAAAGAACACTTAGAATGAACATAAAATGAAAAAAATAAATAAATAAATAGTACAAAAGTAGAAAATATGTTTCACATTTTCATATCTCCTGCTGGAAGTCAGAAAATGTAATAAAAATTGCACAAAAAATTTAAAAAAATTAAGTAAAACTTAAAAAAAAGATGCAAACTGATCTTGTAGGGGTGTCATGGTATATTGCTATTTCCACATAGTGAGGAGCCAAAGAAATTAGATTTTTTTTAAATTGAACTACTAATTTAAAATTGTCACAGATTCTGAACAATGGGAACCAGGTTCTGATCTTCATTACATAGGAATGTAAGGGAAGAAACTCCTGAAGTCCGTGTCGTTACTGTGGGTCACGTACATGTATCTGAGATCAGAAACTGCTCCTGTCTGTTTGTCTCACTTGTGGCAGTTTAAAATTTCTGAATGGACTTGTGTAAATCTGAGATTGTTAGTTTCAGAATAGTTGTTCTTGCTTGATCCCGGCCACCAACTGCAATGTTTAAACGCAGGGCTTGTTGTGAAGCCAAAAAATATTCACATATAAGAAGCTTTGAAACTGGTGTCTTTACAAGAAGAGTAAAAACAAAGATTGTGGCAAAAAAACTGGGGTCAGTGCTCTTGGTGCCTTTTCTATAATTGTACCTGTTTTTAATTACTTCCTTTCACTGCCAGCATTGAATTATAGTAGATGTGCTATAGCTCATTATCAGAATTCTCTTGTACATTTCTGAACTGCTGCTTTATGACCTGATTCAATTCTAAAAAAGGGAAAAAGGCAAAACGAATGGCCTGGCACTCACGCTGTGCCTGTGGGCAGCCTTGTAGCCTCCATTTACTGTCTGCAATTGGAACCTTAACCATTAAATTTTCCTCTCACACGAAAACAGAACAGGAGACACTGAAGAATCTCCTTTAGAATGAATTGGAAATGCTCTGTATTGGTACTGGAAGAACTCTGACATTTTGAAAGTGAAATATTGTACCCATTAACCAATACGTGACAATATAGAATTGATCTGTTCTTAACAAGAGTAGTGACCTCAGTGGAAATGTTTTAACTCCTTGTCTTTACAGAAAATGATTCAGTAATATACAGAGCTATTTCAAATTACTCTTCCAGATCCATGGGCCTGGTGGTGTATCTACTAATCTAGATCCTGCTTCAGCCAAACGTTTAAGCCTGTACTGGGGTTAACCATGCCGGCAGTTCTGCGGCGCAGCAGAACTCCCCGCATGCTTGAAGCCACGTACAGCTCCCAAGTGCTTTGTTGTGTCGGGCCGTAACCCTTCAGTGTGTCACTGGGGAGGGAGGAGGACTCCCCTGCAGTGAAGTGATTCTGCGAACCCTCTTCTTGGTTGTGGAACTTATATTTTCACCGAAGATAAGTAAGTGCAGCTTTCTAGGAAAATTCAAATTCCCAAGTGCCAGGAGCCAGATCTTCTGTCTTCTGATAATGGAACCGCTCCTTTGTGAAACACATTCGACAGCAGTAATACTGTGTGAAAGAAATACAGAATATAACATGAACCCCCTCTCTGGTTGCACGCTTATGGCAGTTCCACACAATAGCTGGTGCCCAATGGGGGGTCCCCAAGACTTGCATGTAAAACTAGTATAGATGTCTTCTCTTTTGTAAGTTTTATTTTTGTAACCGTGCATGTAAAGCATCACTGAATCAATGGATCTGTTGAAGAACTCAGCTGCTGGAACCATGCAAAATGTTTTGAATTGCCCTTAAAATATGGAAAATGTTTTCTGAATGCTTTATATTCTTTCTGCTGTAAATTAAAAACAAAGAAAATTTCCCCATACAAAGTGTGTGCCTTCTTTTAAACACATCTCCTCCATCCTAGTTTGAGAACGATGTAGCTCTCTGTAAGGAACTGTAAGGAACCATGAAAAAAATGCATTTCTTCTCTATGTGACCTGCTAGTTAAGTATACTGCATCTGATTTCTCACAGGTTATAATGTAACAGTCCACAACCTGCCCATGAGCAGCTGCAACCCCCAGAGCTTTTCTGAGATCAGATTGTTTTCAGTTCCTGTCAGTGGACAATCACTTCCAGGGCTTTTCATGAGAAACCATATGTACCTGGTAGCAAAGTGCTAAAGCCTGCAGTGTGCACAAAGCAGAGTCAAATCCTAGGAGAATTCAAGAGGGTTGCTGATGCAGATATGTAAGAGGTCACAATAATACACGTAACTGAGACACAGTAACTTTGCACTGATCAGATATAGAAGTTGCACAAATTGGCCCTCAGTAATGAAACTTTTGTACCAGACTACTACAAGGCCAGCCTAGCAGGGAAAACCAAGTTTAATAGTCATCTGGTGTGCGAAAGACTCTGTTAGTAGTGCTGTGAGTAAGTTCTTCCAAAACCCAGAACCACAACAGAAGACGAGATTTCATTTAGAGAGTTTATTTTTGACTACAGACAGACAAAGTTTAATTATGTTCTCCTAAAGAATAAATCAGCATTTAACTCCCCAAATTGATCTCAGCTACTTCCCCATTTTTCCTATTTGCATGCCTGTTGATTGCCGAGTTCTTCTTTAGTATTGTGGTGGGTTGACCCTGTACTCAAGACACCAGCTGTCTGCTCACTCCCCCACCTTCCCCCTTCTCCCCAGTGGAATGGTGGAAGAGAACTGGAAGACCAAACATGAGGGGAAAAAATGGCTGGAGCGAGAAACAGACGGTTCAATGAGTGAAGGGGGAGAGCGAACGCGAGCCCCGGCGGAGCCGAGCGGGCCCCGCCTCACACCGGGCCCGGCGGAGCCGCCGCCACAGAGCGGGCCCGGCGCAGGGGGAGGGCGCCCCCCGCGGCAGCGCGCCCGACGGCTTCCGGAGGGGCGTGGCCCCGGCTGCCGCCCGCAGGCCCCGCCCCTCGACGTCACCCCGGGGCGCCGTCGGCGCCGAGCGCAGTTCCCGCTGGATCCGCCCGGGTGCTGCGGCCGCGGCCCTTCCCGCCGGCAGGATGTGAGTGCGGGGCCGTGCGGGGGACGCGCGGGGGGACGCGCGGGGGGACGCGCGGGGGAGCCGGGCAGCGGCGCCGGGCCTGGCCGCGCCAGGCGGGCGGGGGTTCCCAGAGCGGGTGTGCAGAGGCCACGCCCGGCCCCCGCTCGGGCCGGTACCGGGGCGCTGGGCTGGCCGGGCCGGGCTGTTCCGCCGGTCCCCGGGCGCCTGTCAGAGCGGAGCCGCCCCGCCGAGGCAGCGCCTGCTGGGCACCGGGGCGTTATTGTCTTTGGAGGTGTCATTTCCGAGACTCTTCACCTGGAACTAGCAGTGAAATAGAACCAAAGGTTGGCGGAAGTGCCCAAACAGTCGAGCGGTGATGCTGACCTGTACGGGGCCTGCTCCGAGCCTCGCCCCGGGCTTCCCGGCTCACGCCTTGTGCGTGTACACGTTTGTTCTCTCTCCGTGGAACTTAAAGTGAATGTATAAATGTGTAAATACAGGAAATAGTCAGACTTGGCTGTTTGGAGTGCCAGGATGCGCTAAACAAGGGTCTGATGTGGAAGAAATAACAACATAGAAAAGCAAATTGACTACAGATAGTTCTAGAGATATGCAAAAAAATCTGGCAAAGCAGTGAAAAGGGTATGAGGAGTATGTACAGGAACTCTTGCATCCATTACAAAGATGCAGAGTGTTGAAGCTGGTAAGAAAAAACTGTTATTAAATCAAAGCTGACCAGAAGTAAATTCTTGTATATGCCAGATTCTTTTTTCTTCTGGTGCTTTTGCTTGCTCCATATCAACTGTTTCAAAATAATAGAGACAGCCAACAATAGAGAAGCACGTAGTCAGAATAATCATTAAGTTTTTGTATTTAATTTTTTTGTGAATACTGTAGCTTGAAACTTAGTATTTGTGTTCATAGTGGAAAGCAAGAACACCCCTGAGCCTAAACTCTTGACTCCTTGAGCCCTATGAACCATGGTTGGAGCTGTCCTGTACCTTATTGCAAAATGTGGTATTAGCAAGCCATTGCTGTCTCTTAGAATGGCAGGCAGTTTGTTGACAAGATGTTTGGAACACAGTGTGACTTGCACCTAATGTCAGCTGTTAAAACACCGTTTCTTCAGTAGGAAACTACCCTACATTTATTCCAAGGATACATCTCAGGAGTGTCAGATGAATAATGATGACTTTCTTTACTGCAGGTCAGCCAGTATCCCTGGAAGCTCAAATGTAGCTGCTGGCAGCAATCGTCGGCTTCAGCAGACTCAACACCAAGTAGATGAGGTAAAAGTCTAGTCCAATAGCAGTGTCATTGTTTTCCTTCAGGAGACCTATAAAACTAGAAGAGATATTTTTACCAAAGCAGTTTTCCCTTCATTATATGAAGGGGAAGTAGAGAGAAGTTACCAGTGTCCAAATATTAGCTGCAATCTTGCTGCTTGAGGATTTGGCAAAATTAAAGATAAAAACCTTTGTTCTTACAGAGAAAAAGCTTTTTTCTCATCAGTAGCCATGAAGGCTGACTGCCAAATATGATGTGTCTAGATTTTTGTGGAGTCCAAAAGCCAGGCTGGCTAGCAAGAGTATTTTTTGACATATGGTTTACTATCATGTTTATATGCCTCAACTCCTTCTGAAGTGGCTCAGGAATTATTTCCCAGGTTTGAAGGAATGCCAGCACTACTGGCACTACTGACTTTTCAAAGTAGGTATTAGGGGCTTCCAGCCCAACTTTGAATTCCAGGGTTTTGTCTAAGCTTATGACTGTATATATTAAAAGGCAATAGCTCCTGCTTCTGAAAAAGAACATTGAGTACCATGTGGTGCTGTCTGTTGCCTGCGATTATGTTCTACCATGGATTATACAACTGGTAACTTACTGTAAGCATTAAACTGGTGTAGGTTGTTGACATCATGAGAGTGAATGTGGACAAGGTGTTGGAGCGAGATCAGAAGCTGTCAGAGCTGGATGACCGTGCTGATGCACTGCAAGCAGGAGCTTCCCAATTTGAGACCAGTGCAGCCAAGCTGAAAAGGAAGTATTGGTGGAAGAACTGTAAGGTAACCTTCCCTTGTGTACTTACGCTGTGCAGTACTACAGGTAACACTATTACAATTGGCATCTCAAAAGGTAGAAGAAGAGATTACTTTAGCCAATGTTGTTTAACTTACAGCATCTAGCTTTTTAAAGCTTGACATAGTGGCTGGGTGAAGGAATGAAAAGCTGGACTAGAGGCCATGCTGCCCTATGCAAGATCTTGTGTAACATAGTAATGGCCAGTGGGGAAACATGTCAGTAATCTGAGGTGTTGAGGAACAGGAAGAAAAGCGTAAAAATGCATAGCTTGAGTTAAAGTACAGGAAGTATTAGAAAGTGGAAGAAGCTCACTCAGATTCCTGTACTTGTAGCTGTTGGCAAAGGTTGGAATCATCTTTGGTGAGTAACAAAGACTTGTATATTCACTTGAGACAACCTCTATGTGGATGAGACTGTAGTGCTGTGTTTTGTCTGTGTGCATGGCCTGCCATCTCTAAGTGTGGATCAAGCTTGCTTACTGAAGAAGCTTTGCTTGCCATGTTAGACCTGACACATGGTGCTAAATTCCCTTGAAGGGGCTGTTTTCCTGTATCCTGAGGGGCAGTTAGTGCTGTTGCATGGTTTGTAGTAAGCGTTGTGTGGCTTCTTTTCACAGATGTGGGCAATATTGATAGCTGTTGTTGTCATTATCATCATCATCATCATCATCGGTAAGTTTCACCAAAGTGGGGATTTCTCATAGGCTTGGAATTACTGGTGTTAATTCACTGACTGGTATAGTTTAAATAAAGCCAGGATACTCAAATAGAAGTACTACTTCAACATTAATTTGAAGTAGTACTGACAGCTTTAACAAGCATTGTTTGCAGTGAGTGGTAAACTGGGACTACTGTGGGAGCTCCGGGACCTGAATCTCAACCACCTTGCTATGAAAATAGCAAGGACTTAGAAACCAGGAACAGACATGCTTTTTTTTTTTTAGCTGCATGTTGCAGAAGTATCAGATGAAATTCCACACACCTCCCTTGTCTGAGAACTACTCATCATTTGCTGTAGCTTCCTGCTAGATAAACCTCTTTTGGTATGGGAGTTCCAAGTGCACTGCCATAGCAGGGAGGTTTTCTTTGAGTAGAGGTTTTGCTGCCAGATGAAATGAGTATAACGTTGGGTTAGGATGGGGAGCCAGGGAATGTGTAGTTCAGTCTTTGAGTCCCCATGTAATCACCAGATATTTAATGGGAAGACAAAGGTTTTAAGTTTGTGCTGTGATACAGTAACAAACACTGCAGTAACCACTGACATCAGAGATGTCATCCTAGATGAGCAGTACTGGAAGGCAAGCACAAAAGAAAAGCTCAGCTAAGAAAACCAACATGGGCAAATTCTTAGATTTAGAGGATTTAAGAGGGATTTATATTTATTATCTTAAATTCCTAAAACGCAGGACTGTTATGGTGAGGGGTTGAAGGACACTGCCCCACTTCTTTCTTTTTTTTGTAGTCGCGACTAGTTCATGAGTTACAGGAAGAAACTCAGATCAACTGAAAGTGCCTCTGAATCTTCAGCCTCTCCACTTCAAACCTGCTGCATTTTCAGTCCATTTACTGCTGTTTAAAGCAAAACTATTTTCATTACTGAAATGTTAACTAACTTTACTGGTTGCCTTAAGACACTCCTGCCATTAATTACTAACAAGCACAGCTCACCACTTGCACAGTGCCTTAATAAAGTGGGGTGCAGAGCTTGCGAGGCGGCCCCGGCTCTGGAGCTGCGCGGCCGCCGCTGTGCTCGCCCCGCGGTTCTGCGCGTGCGCGGCCCCCGCCCCTGTCCTGGCCCCGCCCAGGGGCGGGCCCGGCCCCGCACGTGGCGGCGGGGCAGGCGCGCGCACGGGGGCCGCGTGCGGCGCCGCGTGAGAGGCGGGGCCAGCGCACGCGGGGCCGCGGCCCCGCCCCGCTGAGCGCGGTCTCCTCCAATAAACGGCTCTGACCCCGCCTCCGCCTCCTCCTCTGTTCGCACGTGGCGGGGGTGTGTGGGAGAGGGGTCGCCGCGTGCGCCGCGTTACGTAACCGCGCGGGACGGGGGCGCGGCCCCGGAGGGCGCTCCCGGCCCAGAGCGGGAGCAGCCCGGGGTCGGCGGGACAGGCGCGGCGTCGGGGGGGCTCGGAGGGGCGGGAAGACGAAGCGGAAGCCGCTCGGGATCAGCCGGGGTCTTTTGCGAGAAATCCGCCCGAGCGGCGAGCTGAGGGACCGCGCGCCGGAGAGCAGAGCGGGAGCGCAGAACCGGCCCCGGTGCCCGCTCCCTCGGGAGGAGGGGGGACACCGCTCCTCCCGCTGTCTCCGTGGGCGGCGCGTGTTCTCCCTGCAGCACCGGCGCCAGGACCGCGGGCAAGGGTCTGGCTGTGCTGAGGGGCCGTGGCGGCCGATGCCCCCGCGCTGTGGCGCTCAGCGGAGCCGAGATGGACGCGGGCGAAGGCCGAGGGGGCAGCGCGGAGCACGGCGCCGGTCAGTGCCCGGGGGCCGGGCGGGAGCCGCGGGGGGCTGCGGGCGCTCGGTGCACGGCATGTGCGGGAACCGACTCCGGCGGGACGGAGCTCCACAGCCCCGAGTCCAGCGGCGGCTCGGCCGCCGGCAAAGCCAACAGGTAACCGGGCAGCCGGCGGGGGCGGGCGGAGCGGGTGCCGGGGACTGTGCCGGGCACGGGCCGCGGCGTGTGCAGGGGGTGAGCCTGCTGCTGCTGCACCGCTCCTTGAGATGTGCCTGAGATCGGCTGAGCCGTGTACGGCAGCGAGCCTGTGGTAGCTTCTGTGTGTACTTCATCGTAAGGCCTTATTTGGCAGTACCAAAGCAGAAATTACTGAAATAATATTTTTCCTGGAAGTTCAGAAATTCAGTGAGGTGCTAATTTCTTTTATTTTTTAATTCATAAAAGAGTTCAAGAGCTATAATTCGTGAAACGTTGAACTGGCTTGTTAACACGCAGTACTTGAACCTATGTAATGGTTTATATAATAAGAGCATGATACTAATAAAAATGTCAAATGGACAAAAGTTATTAAAAACAATCGTGTTCATATCCCATCTGTAGGATTAGAATCTCATTTGAGGATACTGACTGCTTATTTTTTAGTCACTGAAATAAGCGAATGTAAGAAGAGGGAGATTTTGCCCTTTAAGAATTCTGCAGTTGTTGAAGTTAACAACTCAAAAGTATAATGAAGACTCTGAAGTCATGTGAGGAATGAAATCTTTGCATCAGGTGTATTTTGAGAACCTCATGGTGCTTATAACCAGATGCAGACTTGAAGGCTGTAGAAACTTATAGAGATCAAGAATCAGCACCTTTAATGATTTTAATACTAGTGAGATTTACAAAATCTAGAGTAAACATCAGCTTATATTTAGTTGCTAAGCATCTTGAGAAGCAGAGTGGTTTTGATGGGACTTTGCCATCCATGACATATTCAAGTTGGAAACAAGGAAGGTAGAGAACAGTTCAAGTAGCAAAGTGAGAAAAATACAACAGGAAATTTAGTGAAGGAGCATTAGGACATTTCTGGATATTGTGTGATACTGTGGCCAATCCCATAAAATGTTGGTTTAGTGAATAATTTTAATTCAGTGATAGAAAAGAAAGCTTCTATACCAGAATTCTCTGGTAAAGTTTAACCTCTATTTTACAGCGAGCAGCTGAATTGGAGCCAGTCTCACAGAGATCTGCTGATGATGATCCAAGAAATGAAAAGGTGTTTGCCTGAAGAGAAAAGGAATTCCAGCAAGTCCAGCACCATCAGTGCTCTCAACTACGCCTTACAGTGTGTCCAGCAGGTCCAAGGTATGTGTGGAGAAAGTCTGTAAGAACAGCAGCATGGTATGAATAGATGTGTTTGACAACAGATAGCATTAAAACAAAAGAAGGCATTCTAGTTATCCTGCTAACAGTTGACTTTCTGAAGCACTGTGGGTTTTTTGTTTGTTTTTTTTTGTTAAACAGTCATGTTATCTTTTCTATTGAAATACCCACCTACTGCTTCTCTTTTCTTCAGAGTCCCATAGCTAATAGGTGCCTACTAGTACCTTTCTGTGTATACTGAAAAAACATCATTCCCATCCCACTTTGAAAAATTATTGGATAGTTTGTCTTTTTCAACAGAACTAGGTAGCTAAAATTGTTCTTTTGCCATTGTGTTCTGTCCTTTCTACTTCTTCATGCTTGTTTTCTGTAACATAACTAGGTCACTCCAGTAGTATAATCAGTATTCCTTTTCCCTTTGTCACTACACAGACCTTCTTCATCTCACCTTGGACTTCACCAAAAAGATGACAAAAGTACAAGGGCTGTAAGAAATACTTTCAAAGTAGTCTCCTTACTGACTTTCTTGTGTTTGTTTTGCTTTTCTGTTTGTTTTTTTTTCAATTAGCAAACAATGACTTTTTCCAGGCTCTGAATGACCGAAGAGTGTTTCAGACTGATGTGGTGACATACAGCATAGAAGAGTTGGTGGCAGTTGCATCTGAACACACTCCAAAAAACACTGTAAGAATTCAGGCACACTCAAGGAGTTCATCACTTGCCATTGCACTCTGTTTAGTCTCCTTACATCGTTCTGTGTAAATTGAATGTGTAAAATTGAAAGACCTTTAATTTTTAGCCAGAGAGGCCTTAAAATTTTAAAGTTAGATCAAGACTACTACTTATCTGTGCTGTCCCAGGGTACCCAATGATAATGAGTAGAAGAAATACTAATTTTTCTTCTTTTTTTTTTTCAAGCAGCAGATAACTCTTTGAGAATTCATTTACAGTGTAGTAATCTCTTGAAACAGCAAAAAGTTTTCGAAACCAATCAAGTTTAGGGTTGTGAGGGGCTTTTTTTTTCTGTTTGTACTCTGGATTTAATTTTTTTTCTTGTTTTGCAATATCTGTCATGCTTTCTGGCTCTGCTTTAAAGAAAAGAGTGTTTTTTGAAATTCAATACTGTTAGATGCTGTATCAGAAGTACTGCAAATGCTTGCTATTTGAAAAGCTCTGAGTATTTTTTGTATGTGGAATTGTAGTGAACTCTCTGAAATTTGGGGAGAAGTGTGTGGAGTGATAACCAGTCATTCTGGACAAAGATAAGCATCACTCTGATTGGTTTCAGTTTTGATACTGCAGTTTTACTAGCATTTGTAAATCTTGAGTATGCTGTTATGGCATTGGAGAGTGTAGTAGTTTACACACTACTTTAATTGGATGCTAAATTAACACATTTTTGAACTTCATCCTGAGGTTGTGGTATGTGGTGATTTGGGGTTGATTTGTTTGTTTTGGGGTTGTTTTGCTTTTTATCTTTACAATATCACTGCCATGTCTGGGGGGACGATTGCCTTTAACATTTGTTTTCTAGGACACATTTGTGGCTGTATTTTCTTTGCTTTCTGGACGCATAGTACATATTTCTGAGCAGGCAGCATCTATCCTAAACTATAAGAAGAAAGTGTTGGACTCTTCCCGGTTTGTAGAGTTGCTTGTCCCTCAGGATGTGAGTGTGTTCTACACACACACCGATCACTCTCACCTACCGCTTTGGAACATGGAAAGTGAAACAGGTGGGACTTGGCAATGCTTTTAAATGTTCCATGTGTCTTTCTGTCTTTACAGAATGAGGATAGAATAGTAGTTCCTTTTAAATGCTTATGCTAGCAGTATACATCAGCAACACTTGTTTCCTTTCCACTTTGAAAACTGCAGTGGCTGTGGGATTAGTTCTTGCTAGTCTCCTAGAGGCTTGACTCTTACTTGGGGTAAGTAAAAGACAGATACTTCATTGTTTCATGTACCATCTTACTCATTCTAAATACTGCTGCTTTTTGAAAAGAAACTAAAGGTCTAATTGTGAGTTTGAAGTTGTTTAATCTATACCTTACGGTTGCTTAGGTCCTTTGTCTTTATGGTCCACTTGCTTCCTGCTGCAAATATAGCTCACCAAAACCAAGTTCTAAGCTATTTAGTGCTGGATGTGTCTAAACTGTGACTTTTGAGTCCTATGTTATTTGTGAGCAATTTAAACGTAGCTTGCGTTCCAAGGGTGTGTCTTTTGCCCACCTAGACATGGGTTGTTCTGAGGCTGTTCTGGTATCAGATCTGAGAAGTCCAAAGTCCTTGCTGTCAAAGGATGGTGAGACATCTGGAGGTTGCAAATGCTAACATGCCAGGGATTCCACAACTTGGCAGCCAGTCACGTGCTTGCCCAGCAGAGCAGAGGCACCCCAATGGAGTTGCTCTTGCCTGTATATAGTTTTTGTTACATGGTTCATAAAGCCAGGAAATGTCAACTTTGCTTTTCATAGTGATGCACTGGAGAAAGGATTTTTTTTCTTTTAGGTCATACACATTTCCTCTGAATTTAGTTCCAAGTCAGCCACTTCCCTAAGAGTGAGTGGGCTGGAGAAGGGAGGTAACATTTGAGGTGGGAGCAGACTGTTGAACAGCTAATTCAGTAGCTAATGAAGAGTAGGTTGTGAGACTTCAGTCTTGCTCAGAAAGTCTGGAGAATGCAGAGTTTAAAATAGTTCTGATAGATGTGACCTTTTTGAACATATCAACTGATACTTTCAATATGTTCTTCTTATTAGCTTCTCTGTATGAATATGCCCAGGTGAAATCCTTTTTCTGCAGGATCAGGTAAGTACATTATTACAAGGGTACTATACTAGGCAGAAACTGTTCTATTGTTACAGCTGACCAGTGTGAGCTCGTGAAACT